ATACATATATACACATACACAAACATACATACATACATATATACATAGTATATATCTATATATATATATTTATATATATATATGGAGCTTTGAACTGGTCCAATAGGCCTACCATTAAGATCCATTTATAGCTTATTAGATTATAAAGATTACTCAGATTGGTTGGGAATATATGATATAACTTGTTGCCTTTGTCTATCAGCCGTAAATGCTTTTAAATGTGAGTTTCTTTGACGCCAAGGCGTAAAAAAAAGATTGTTAGGATGTAGTAATCATGGTGCTTTAATAAAGAGCTGATGATATTTGAAGCAAATGCCTTTTAGCTGGCAGTGCAATTGCACTTTTATGTTTGGTATCAACCTCACATCTTGACAATTAATAGCTTTGTCCATCATTTTTATAGTCTGCGGTGTGAAATGGATGTCTGAACTGAAGTTCTTTAAGGGCAGAGACATTCGATTTAAAGGTACAATTTCATTATCAACTAAGCCTTAAACTCTCTTGCAGGTGGCACTATGGGTAAAATAGGGGAATAATATGGGAATAAGCTGTTCTTAGATGCAGCTGAGCAAGGTGTCCAAACACAGTAGAGTTCAGATCTAGGATATTGGAGCTGTAGTGGAATGTGTTTTTTTCTTAAATCAGCTAACTATAATGAATAGCGTAAAGGTTAATTTGTTTTTTTTTTCTTTGTAACCATGCACACTCTCAGTAGCTGATAACAGAATCATTGAAGGTGGACTCAGGAGAACAAGAGGAATCGGATCCAATATATTATTTCAAAAATTGTAAAAGAAACAAAATCAAAATTAAATGTGCCAACACATTTCGAACCTAAAACCACAAAGATGAAGGTTGACCTTAAAGGGGTCATGGAATGCAAAACCAAGTTTACATTATCATAGATGAATAATCATAGTTCAGTGGGTGAAATGGATGTACAGAGAAGTTCAAACCCAATCGACACCTCCTTTCTCTGCAAATCTCACAATTCTAAAAACAGGTAAATTCAAACGAAGCCCCAAGTTGATGTAAAATGGGGGATGTTGCCTTATTTGGTTATGGCCTGCTCTTTTGTCTCGCCCCGAGGTGGCGGTTATGAAGTGTTGACTGCTGTCCTGCTGACTGGACCGGACCTCAGCAGAGAGCCATAAGCCACCCGTCCTCAGCTGGAGGAGGGGGGCTGGGGAGACGGGGGGGGGACAGGACCACCGGTGTCCAGGCTACAGTCACCGGGCCCAGTTTGGTTGCCCTGTTTCCCGCTGGCTCCCTACACTCTTCCGCCAGGGTTGCCGGACCCGCCCCTGAGCTGAAGGCTTTGTTCGAATGCCCAGTGTGTTTCACCTACGTGTTGCACTTAGGTCTACCAAAATATTAGATGATTTTGAAATTCCACCCGGATATTTTTAGGTATGAAAAGCAGGATATGTCCGGGAAAAAGAGGACATCTGGTCACCCTACCATATCAATAATTTTTATGTTTCAGTTAGGGAGTGCTTGTTGCTATGATGCATCTTTGCTCAGCAGCTTCGCTTGTTGTAAACCAACCAATCAGTGCACAGCTCATCTAAATATTCATGAGCAAACCATAACAGGAAGAAAACATTTCGTTTCATTCTACGGCTTTAAACCAGGCTTGCATTAGGGCTCATAGAACAGCAGATACGCCAATTTCAGCCAAATCAATGTTACACACCCTATTCAGAGACCTTAAGGACCAGCACCAAATACCCTATATAATCCTTATATGACCCCTTTAAGGATGAACTATCTAAGCACAAGCTGAGCATTGTAGTGAATGCTAAAGACAAGGCATGTGAGCTTGTTAAAGAAAATACGGGGCAGCAAAAGAGAGCCAGCCTCTAAAGTCATGACTTTCCTTTTAGATTTATAATGTTCGCTCTCTTTTTCAGCAAACAACAAGGTAAAACTATTAAAAGACATTTAGCATATTTGAGGAATTATTTCTCACTGTCGCTTACACTTATTGAAAGCCTAACACCTCATACAAAAGAAGTGTAATTTTGTTTTATTGCCTCAAAAGCAAAGATAAGAACTACTGTAACCTTCTAATTAAACTTTTACTTTTACTAACACAATTATTATAGTTAGATTAAAGTCAGATACTTTTCTGTGAATAAAGAAGCATTTGCTTACATATCCATCCATTGCCCAGTTGTCGTTTTTAAACTTGCTGTAGTAATACTCTGTTGGCCCCTTCACCTGGTATACCTTCAACAGCAGCTGGTTTTCCTCTGACTTATAGGTACCTAGAAAAAGACACATTGAGATTCAGATTGATATGCTAGTTAGGCTGATAGACTCTAAATCTTTTATAAACAATTAACTCATTATTTTCTTATTTGCATTGAAACCTGTCATAGTACTCTAACAAGAGACACAAACATAAGGAGGCAGGCAGGTGGTAGGAAAACTAGGATTTGTTGGTGACAGACAGAGAAAAGGAGCCACCTTGACATTTTGAACGATGATTCTCTTTTTCCCTCAAAGCATATAGCACAATATGAGAGGAAAACATGACATTTAGCCTTCAGCTACATGTCTTTGCGTAAATACAGTGCAACCACAAAAGCTTCTGATTGTCACAATGACAGGAGGCATGCAACAAAATTATTATATAAACATCTCCTTAAATTCCTACATTTGTAGACCTTGAATTGTAAATAATATCTAAATAGATAACTGTCTCTTGATTTTCTTTCCTTTCAGTTAATGTTGGTGAAGATTCTCAGTCATCCACTTCATAGACATTCCAAAAAAGTTAAACAATCCACTGGACTTTGTTTCAGTTAATGTTACATGTTGATTTGTAGAAATTAAGAAAATAAGTCTTTTCAAAGATAACTAAATAGTTTTCCTCAGTACTGTAAAACTAGCCTTATCTTCGAGCAAACGCATTTTATTTATCCATACTTCAGCAAGAGGTCAAAAATCCCATGAAGTGGGGTTTTGCTTTGTAGCAGAACAGTTTTCTTTTATTTATTTTCCCAATAACTTTTCCTAATCAGTCAAATGTGGGATATTGTTTCAGTTTGTGGGGCAAAAATACTGAAGGGAAAAAAACTGCATAAATCGGGATCTGTTCACGCTGAATAGTTGGGGCATCTCTATAACCAGTCAGTGTGACATGGAAAAAAATTGGATCATAGACTAAAATGTTGGAGGCAATCCAATCCCTTTAGGTTTACAGTGTTTAAATGATTTTTAGTTCAGAGCAAGGTATCTTAACAGACAAATCAAAAATCAGAAAATGTTTAGAAGCAGTAGAGATGAGTTTAAAAAAAGTAAAACAAAAGAAAAACACAGAAAATTGTCTTCAGGAGGCAAAAGACTTGAAAATTTAGAAGTGAGTCTGGATTCTTGGAAGCAAGTCACACAAAAATGTGGAATGACTCAAAACCTTAGTACAACACCAAAAATAGTAATTTATTTTTTGCTCTTGTATGTCTTATAGGTTTTTAATCCTGATTTAAAACATATTCATTATAAATCAATAATAATTACTGTACCCTCATCAAGATTTTTATGAGCAAAAGTAGACCTAATAATATCTAAAGAGCTTTCTGAAATTATTTTGGTTTTTACCCGATAGTCGGATTGAAACTCCACTGGTCTCCAGTAATGTGACGTTCACTCGGCCACTAGTTGTATTAAACCCAGTAACTGCGAATGTGGTGGTCTGCCTTTTCCCTAAATACTCGTAGAAACCGGTCCACTCAGAGTTTGGGGAGAAGACATCAGCTGGAACTGGGAAGGAAATAAATGGAAAAGTAACACAAGTTAAAGAAAAACAGATGAAATAAAATTTGACAGCTCCTAAAAGATGCCAACACACATATTGAGCCTCTGGTTCCCTCACAGTTGAGGGGCCAGTCCCTGCTTGCCTGATTCCCACATTTACTCCAAGACATTATTAACTTCAAACTCAGATTTTGCAGTGTTCTTTGAAGAATCTCACATCAGGGTTTTTTCCTCTGGTGTGTGTCTCTTACTGCTGGCTTCTTCTAACTGTTTGACTCCAGATTGGCTTCAAAATCATTTCTTTAGCTTGAAATATGCTTCATGGTATCTCAGTTTAATGTTTTTAGCTGATTTATGTAGGCTTTACTGAGCCATTGAATCTTTGCAGATATGTTTAGTGAGGACTGCTTTGACCGAGCAGTATCTAATATCAGCAACATTCATTGCTAAAATGTTGATATCAAATTTTCTATGGAAAGGATTTTAAACAACCATTAAACTGTGAAAATATTCAATTAATTCAATACACAAACATCCAAAATGAAACAACAACAAACCTCTGCACTTAAAGTGAAACACCTTTAAATAGTATGTATATGCGTGCTTTGTAGTCCACTATACATGTAATGTTTTTTATTCTGCATACCACGGATCTTATTCTTCTGTACATCTGACTCCCCTCTTCCTTTGGGATTTACTTTCACTCCAACTGAAATAAAAAAAGAGATTTTAAATGTAAGTTCAGTGTACAGGTTTTTGAGATACTGTACAGTCTAAAGTACATGAAAAGGGATGGACAAAAGCAATAAAAAAATAAATAAACTTCACTTGATATTGTGTCTCATAATATGGAATAAAACACACAATGTTGACAACTTTAATCATTTTACTTCATTCTACTTTTGTTTTCCAAATCTGCATTATTTGTTAGTTCAACATATAACTTTATAGTTACACATAGTGCACTAGGACTGTGGTATGTCTGCACTACAACTGGGTGAAACATTTAACCCTGCAAATAAAAAAGCCCAGCTTGCTCATTAGCCATTAACTTTGAGCTAGTTTAATGCCACTTGAACAATTTTTAAAAGTTAAACAACACCCCCACATGGGTGTGTCTCCCTGCTGTGGAAGTAGCACACAAGTGGCCGGTAACTGACTGGTCTTTGGCTGATACCAGAAAGGGGACATTTTTCATGCCTGCATCGGTATATTCTCTGCTTTTTCTATTCATAGTGGATGATGTCTTATTGAATAGGACATCCTCCTTGAGGGGAACATCAGCTGGGCTGCTGCCATCAACACCTTTGATTGTAGAGTTAATAGTTGGACCTGTTGCTCAGTGCTTGACTTAGTGTTGACTGCGAATAACTATGTTTTTATGGATCAATGTTTCCAATTTCCTTTTATATGTCTGCTTCTGTCTCCTTAAATCTTCAACAGAAGGCTGCTTACACTAAGCCTGGTTCTTCTGGAGGTTTCTTCATGTGAAAAGGGTTTTTTTTCCTCCTTACTGTCACTGCATGCAAGGGTCAGTGTGGGGGATTGCATTAGAAGGGAAATTTACTGTTGCCACAACTTTTACAGGAGTACTTATACATCCTGGAAAGCCAATAACTCAATTCAATCAAATGGGTTTCCTTAGATATGATTCAATGGAAATGTCTCTCTAAAGTCCAAAATGATAACATGACTTGTAATTTGGTGCAATATAAATAAATAAATAATAGAAATAAACTGAATAACATTTAAAGGATCTGGCAGAGGTGCATATCAGTAACTTACATTTTAGGTTAATTTGTTAGAGTAATTCTCTATAGATCAAACACACCGATTTCTGTAAATATAAATGTTAATTACAGCTACTTTTGATGATCATAGCTAACTAGAAATACTAGCCGATTGATAAGAGAAAGGAAAACAAGTTGTTAAAAAGGGGGAACGAGCAAAATGGACAGCTACAGCCCTTATTTAAAAGTCTGGAGGACAATTGCAGGGTGTTAAAGGCAGCTAGAATTAGTGCTTCAATAGCAGCCTGGGCTTTTTTCCAATGGTATAAAGGCTTCTTTTTTAGGTTAAAAGTAAAGTTTATACCTAATTTTAAAATCAATTTCCAAAGGCCATAGGAAGTGTTGTGAGGCACAAAATCCAAAATGTTTAAGGTCCAAAGTGAAAGTTCCATTGTCCAGGATAATTAGATTGCCATGTCATCTGCTGTTGTTAGACCTCTGTGTTTTCTCAAAATAGGCTCAGCTATCTAGCAGGAAATGTTACCGCTCTTCATCCTTCCCTCTGTTAACAAGATATAGGAAGATTCTGATTTGATTTTTCAATAGTACCTGGCACCTGCCCAAACACAGAGGCACTCATGGGAGATTCTATGTAGTATTTTCAGGAGATAGATGAACGACACCAGAACTATCAATGCAGATGAGCTGTAGCCACTATGGAAGTAACCTGGGATCCTTCACATCTTATCAGTGCACTGGGCTGATCCCCTTCGTGTCACATTTCATTGAAGCAGTGATTTTTTTTTCAAAATAAGCCTTATGATTGCATGCACATTCTTTTCATTAGGCTAAAATTCCTCCAAAAAACAAAAACACTGTTATTGTCTTCCATAACATTTTGAAACACCAAATATTTTCTTTCCCATTATTACAATTAACTTTAAGGCCTTATTAAGATGCTTCAGTTATTTTTATAATTCTTTCAGATTGTAGATGCATCTCTTGACGCCAACTACTTATCTGATATAAAGCATGGAATCAGTACAATTTATGTGAAAAACATTTACAAGACAGATTTTAAATACCTTTACAGAGCGGTGGTTTCCCCGTCCATCTCCCATCACTTTTGCAGGTTCTGTGCTCTGATCCTCCAGACAGATAAAAACCTTCTTGACAGGTGTATATCAGTGTATAACCTAAAGTTGGCAGGTCCATAGCTCGAACATCGACGTTACTGGGAGTTTCTGGCTGTCGACATGAATGAGCTGAGTGAAAAGGAGTAAAAATGTGAAACTCAAAAATTTTACAACTGAACAGACATGTAAAAATTTAACAGCAAGATATGAACAATTTTTATATTGTAAATCCTTACCCATGCATTCAGGTTGAGTTCCACTCCAAGTCAGATTTTCCAGGCATGTTCTCGTTGTTGAGCCAAGGATATGGTAGTTTTTGCGGCATTTGAAAGAAATTTTACTGCCCACCTATGTATTAATGAAATATAATAAAGAGGCATAATGTTTGTGGGGATGCATAAAACCTTCAGTTTTCCCACTCAGCCTTTGCAAATATACAAATTAAATACTATAACTTTGTAAACAAGACTTTTGATTTTGTTTGTGGACTTAATACAAAGAATTCTGTCATTCATTATGAATCTATAAAGGATCATCTTAAATTTGATCACAGATATCATAAACATTATTCCCTCTATTTTATTTTAGACATCAGCAACTAGCAGCCAGAACTACACTGACCTTAAAGAAGACTGAAAATCTTATTTTCTTTGTATTTAAATAATCTCTCTGTAATTTAGATTTCTATATTTGAGTTATTCACATTAACACCCATATCACAGTACTTCTATTATTGTATTATCTAAAGATTTTCATTGGGTTTATTTATGGACAGCGGCACCTTCATTTTAGTGTGTGCTGTTCTTGCATTTTTCATGCTGTCATAGTCAACTCAGCTTCAACTGGGTTGTTTCAACTGCTAACTGATATTTCAGGTCAGACATTCAGAACCAATCAAGGTCTAATTCCCTTTATCAAAAAATATTGCAAATATACAATTCATCTTTTCCGATTGTCAGATGCTCCCCTACTTCCCATCCTCACATCATCCCAGTTATCCTCAGAGTCATGATTAAAGTCTCTGACAGCCATCTGTTAACCCGGCTGCTCCACAACAAACACCAGCAGAGTCACTGCCAGTTGTATATTGATTTGTACTGGCTTTTTAATATTTTAAAATGTTTGAACTGCACAAAAAGAAAAGTTAAACTTAGCATACGGTAAAGTGCACGTCAGATAATGCTCCTTTTCAATCTTGACATAATGATGACATAACTATTTTGATATTTTAAGAATAGATCATTCAAGCTCTACTAGAATTTTCATTGCCTACATGGACAAGTCAAAATCTTTTGGCCTCGTTGTTGAGCTACATGTATATGTTTGCAGGTGAGGTTTTTAGACTCATACTCATTGTCTTCTGCTAATATATGACCTGGTTGCAGGAGTAGCAGTCTCAGGAGAGATTTCTAGACTTTCCTTGTCCTCTGGGGAGACCTGAGGTGCTCCCAGGCCAGCTGAGAGACATAGTCCCTTTGTCATGTCCTGGGTTGGACGTGCGTGGAACATCTCCCAAAGAAGGAGGCATCCAAAAAAGATGTCCCAGTCACCTAAGTCTCAGCTTACTATTCTTGCTGTGGCGGACAAGTGTCTCTACTTCAAGCCTCTCCTAAATGACAAAGCTTCTGACCCTATTTGTAAGGGAGAGGTGAGGGTAGGAACGTAGACCAACAGGTAAATCAAGTATTTTGCCTTTTCTTTCAGCTCTTTTTTCACCTTAACAGACCGTTCCAGTGTCAACATTATAGCTCCTTTCCCTCTATTATCTCTTTACTCCTGAACAAGACCTCAAAGATACTTAAAGTCCTTAACTTGAGGCAGGAACTCTCCTCCAACCTGAAGGGGACACCTCACCTTTTTCCTGTCAAGAACCATGGCCTCAGACATGGAGGAGCTGATTCTTATCCCAACCAATGCATGAAGTGGAGGAGGGAGCCCGCAAACCCATGACATCTCCTAAAAGCAGGTATGACATCAACTGGTTCCCGAAAAACATCCCTTAGTTGTGCCTACAAATCCTGTCCATAAAGGTCACGGACAGGACAAAGGGTAGCCCTGTCTGAGTGTAACATGCACCAGGAACAGACCTGACTTAATGTGGGCAATGCGGTTTTCAAACCAAAGGATACTAAATAAACTAGGGGTGTAAATCACATCCATCATGGCGATTCGATTCAGTATCGATTTCCTGACCCAACGATTCGATTATTTTCGATACTCAAGAATACACCACGATTCGATTCGATTAATCGATTAATTGGTTAATTTTTTTTTTTTTTTTTTACACCTTACAGGCTAAACAAAGTTTCAAGTTTGAAATAAATCAATGAAAGCTGTAATATCATTATGCATTTTCTTTAGAAACAACAGCAAATAACAGAAGTAGAAAAGTTGCATAAAAAAATACTGAAAAAATACTGCACAATATCAGTGTAATGAGTTCAATGCAATACCTCAGCTCCAGAGAAACTGTCCAACATATTTTTTTAGAATGTAATAAATATACTCAGGAAAGAGAGATGTTGCGTAGAGAGTTAGACAGGAATAAAAATAAACTAGATATAAGGGAATTGTTTCAAAGGTCATCTGGGGATGTAGTTTTTGGGAGTATTTTTAATTTTCTAAGAAGAACGGGTATTTTAGGGAGAATATAATAGTTTGTCTGGTCCATACTCCATTCTGGAAGGTGGCGGTAATGCACCTATAAGTTGTTTACCAACCGCCATAAAAAAAAAAGAAGAAGAAGTGACAACGTCACCGCCCCTTGAGAGACGCTCCGCTGCACCTCTCCCAGATTGTAGCTGACCGCAAACAGTGCAGCAGACAGGAGGCCGGCTTGTTTTGTTTTTATGACCGAAATTGCGGAAAACAACTCGTGAAGTTTGACCCGCTAGAAGAGCGAGGTTTAGGAACAATGAATGTTCCTAAACCATTTAGCAGTCTTTAGATTTTACAGAAAGAGTTAGAATAAATTTAAGTTCATGAACTTAACCAAAATTATTTTACCCATTTTAGCTTCCTAAATTTTCCAACCGCTTCAATAAATTCAAATATAAACTTTTAACTTCAGCTTATACATAGATTTGATGAAATACTCTAATCTAAAATTAAGATGCTAGCTAGCCAAATTGGCTACAATTTCCTAATATTTTAAATACATATATAGGGTAATTGCTGGTCCTGCTTAAAACAAAAAAAAAAAAACATATATTTTTAGCTAATGTTATAATGTTGTAGATCAGTGTCATAAAGTGCCCACCTGAAAGCCCTGGGCCATGATTGGAATACCATAGGCAGGAGTTCCTGGATCACGGCAACTGTTAAAGGTTGGATCTACACAAGGACATTAAAAGGTAAACATTAGGCATCACAAGGTTGTGCACACTATGGATGTAGTACTATGTTTGAAAGAAGCTTTATGATTACAACACCAAATTTCCATGCAAATAACAGAGACAATAGCAACTATTCTCTGCAGATTTTTGAGGTTTTTCCATTAGACATTCACAAGGATGAAGGTGAGCAGTCCAAACTAACAGAAACATAAAAATGTAAAACACTGGTGATGAAGTGAATCCATTAATTTGTATGAACCACTAGTGTAGTGTTTCAGGATGTTTCAGTTAAATGGGAGCCGGTGTCCTGCATGCTTAAGATGTGTCCCACCTCCAACACACTACAGTCAAACAGCTGATTTACTTTACTCATTTACTACAATTTTTTTTCAAGCTAGCATTCATCCAATACAAATCAATTTAATCTAATATACATTTCCAAAACATCCCTTATGTAAAAGAGAACCGTGATTGTATTTTTAAGTTACCAATGCAGGTTGGTTGCTGGCCACTCCAAACACCATCTGCTTGACAGAGTCTGGTGGTAGAGCCCACCAGTACATAGGGAGCATAGCAGTAAAACCGGACCTCAGATCTGTAAGTAAAATTAAAAACAAAATCACACAAAAATAACAAGATCCGCTGTGTTTAAATTCAGGTTATATCGGTTAATTTTGTTGTACCGATCAGCATGTCCCTAGGAGGCTCGATAGAAAATAGTGTGAAAAAAAGGACGTGTTTTATTTAGGAATGCTTAAGTATTTAACAACTGACCCATATGAGAAGATGTTTCCCTCTCTGGATCCTCCTCCAGGTGAACCAGGATCCCCACATAAGACAGCTTAAAGGAAAATAAAACAGTGAGAGTCAACACTTTGCTTCAGGTCCAATGGACTGCACTGTACAATATATATAAAAAAAGAGAATGCTAACTTACGCAAACACTCTGGAACCTCTCCTGTCCAAGTCCCGTTTCCCTCACAGGTTAACACAGCAGGGATGGACATCTGATAACCGTGAAAGCAACTGTAGCTGACACTGGATCCCCAGGAATAATCTGTCCCTTCAACTTTTCCACTGAGCACATGTGGGGGAGGTCCACAATGGATCACTGAAGCAAACAGTCAAACAATAGAGCTCAGCAAATTTGCAACAATCTCTGCTTAACCTTTGAAAGTTTGTGTTTGCAGTTCAGATGCTCTTATTAATTGCAAAACAATAATTCAAATGATACAAAGTATACACAACAGCCTGTGTCCTTTAGTTCCTCTTCAAAAGTACATTACACTAAATAATGTAATTTGAGTAAGAAAGATGTGGATTCTTTAAAAAAAAAAGGGAAATGGTGGCACCTAAATCAACACAGAACTTGCTGAAACTGTTCTATATCTGCTCTGATTAAGTTTTTTTTCAGCTGAAAGATTAAAAAGTGAAGTCTTGGACAGATACAAGTGTGTTGTAATGTCGTTTTTGCCTTTGGACTATTTTTTGCTTCCATCACCTTAAAAATCCAGATGCCGATTTGATCTACAACCAGAATAAAACCAGTTAAAAAGAAAAGAAAAAAATTGTGACTGTGGCACATAACTTGGGTCAAGAGTCCAGGTTATGTTGCAACTGTAGAAACCAAGAAAAGTGTAAAAAAAATAAAATAAAAAATAACTTTAAAACTCAAATAAAACAGTAGCAAGACAGTAAATGGTTACCAAGTCATCCAAAAAGCTTTTAATTTTAATATAAAAGGCTGTGAAATATTGCTTTAATAACAGTCAGCGCCTGATCTTTGATGCCAGTAGATTTTTTGCCACCTTCAATAAACATCTTAGGCTTGATCATTTAAACCAAACCATCATTGTTCAATAAGGCAAAAAAAACAAAAAAAAACAAAACTGTAATCTTCCTATATTTTCAGCAAAGAAAAATAATTTTGAATGAAGATTTAGATGATAACCCCTAATTCTTCCCTCTAATACACATTTAGAGCAGCAGTGCTATTTCTGCTAATGATTCACAGAAACCCATGACTATTTTAAAGCTTAATTTCGAAGCTGTCAGTGTTCAGTGATGATATCAGACCGTCGGCTGCTGTCTGAAGATTATTGTGTATTAAAGGGGGGATCTGTTATCATTTGATCATTTGGCAACTTGTTTTTTATGCATGACAAAGTTATTAAAGATGACGTGCACCCATTTGCACAGCAATTCACACGCAGTGATGTGCAAGCAGATAACTTTGTGACACGATAAACATCTCTGTGTGTGCATGTAACTAACTCCCTGAAATAATGATAACCATCTGCAAAGCTTCAAACGTCTCATAAAGTCAGTGTAATTTCTGTCTAACTAGGAGACAGATGGTGTCATGCTCCATTCACACTGCTCTGACGATGCTCACACATGGATGCAGAGACAACGCTTTTTTTTAGATTGCTTGTGACATTCAAACCCAAAATTAGTAAGTTGATTAGCTTGTTGCAAGCAGATGTGGTTGCCTGTTAACCACAAAGTGAAAGAAGTAGATTTATGAGCCCTTCAATGGTTTGAAAGGAAGAACTCAGAATGATTGTATGAAAAAATTTATATATATATCTGTTATAAATAAGAAAGTCTGTGACATCAGGGCTTTTTAGATTATACTGACATTGTTTTATTTACATAATTATTTCTAGCCAAATGCATCTGTTTGCAGCACCCTAACCACCTACTTATTTCTAGCGTCCAGAAGAAGCCGTGCAGGTCCCTAAAGTTATTCTGAGAGACAAAAAAAGAAAGTGTCTCATCTTTCAGCATTGCTCATTCTCCATTCCTATAATTTGTTTGGCTGGTCCACCCCCATCCAAAAGAATAATCTATACACCTGCACACAAGTCATTGCCAGTTTTGTTCAGCATGCAGTTCATCATTTTATTGCTTTGTGACTTCAGGAACAATGGCTGGTGGCTGGCCAGAAGCGACCAGGGATCCAAATTAATCACTGTATGAATGTTTTCTCCTTCATGAAAACAACTTTGTTATTATCGAACAAACTCCAGCTGTCTAAAAATAAAAGAGAGCACTTTTATTGACTTCAGATTTTTTTTAATATTCAAGGCTTGTATTTCTGCAAGTCTCTAATGTCTAAAAGACAATCATGTTTAGAAATGAAGGATTTGAATTCCTTTATTTCTTCTTTGTGCCCTGCTCTGTATAGAGCACAGTCACATCAAAACCTCGAGGGAGAGGAGTAAACTAGCTCATGTATCTTGGCTTTTTATTACCTAATTAGTATTGCTGGCTCCTTTTCACCTCTTCCACCCCCTCTTCTTGGCTTGGAAATCTTCTTCCTACCTCATTTCTCTTAGTCCAACCTTAAGCTCTTTTGCACTTCCCACCACTGCACCTCTGGTCTCCCTCTTATGCCTTCTCAGACCACTTCCTCCATGCCTTTATTTTTCTTTTAGGCATTTCTCTCCTGGCACAATTCAGCCAGCCAACATTTTTTACGAGCCTAATTCCTTTTCTCACGGTGTGTTTACAGGTTCAGGGGCAGCTATTGATTTGCCTCTCAGTTTTCTCATTGCTTATTTCTCTTCTCACCTATTTCCATTTTATTTCCCCCTTGTAACCAACGTGATGGCCCATCAGCATCCCGCCCTTTTTTCATTCTCGTTCACTTGCTTAAATCTTATGTTCTTGATTTCCTAATGCTTGTTCTCTTAATCACGTTGTTGCTCGATGTATACCGTTGTTGTGTTTTTGCACCTCCCTCGATCCTAAACCCATTTTTTCTCCAATCCACCTCTTTATATCATATATTTTCTCTCCTCCTTTCCTACAGCTTTTTACTTCCCACCCCACAGCCTTCACCTCTTGTTATTACTCTCATTATAAAATCTGTCAAACTGCAACACTGGGTTCTATGAATTCTGTTCATGTGTTTTTGCAAATGAAATGTCTTTACATCGAAACAAAATGAATCTCAACAAAGGAGATAGAAACAGGTAGAATAAAACTTTACTACATTAAGAAAAAACTCTAAATCTAAGAGAAAGGTGAGAACTGAGGGGAAAAGAAGATGAAAAAAGGGGACAAACAAATGGGATAGAGCTTGAAGCTTATTCCAGTCACCAACTCTTCTTCATTCCTAACACCTATAATTTCCACTTTTCAGTTTCTCTGTCAGTCTCCATCACCAACAGCATTTTTTTTTCTGTTTTACCTCAACAAGTACTTCTTTGGTTCCTTTTCAGCATCCTCTCTCCCCCGATTTTTTTCAGCTTGTTTTTTTTCATTTGGATTTTTTTTTTTTCTCAGTTCAAAGCCTCTGCTACTGAGAATGCCAGCAGGGGGTTTCTGTTTATGGGAAAAGGTGGCAGAAAGGATCTCAGGAAACATTTCCCTGTTGAGTATAATGGTCTAAAGTAGGCTGATTTACACTCCCATGGTAGTACAATCTATGTTTTTTCTTGATCTTTTTTATTGTTTTTTGTCACTGCTGGAGATCAGAAATGTTTTGTATGTCTTACAGACTCACACTGTTGGGAGGAGTAATGTCTTATGTCCTGATTTTTCAAAACAGATCTGCAGTCAAGTATCAATCTTTCATTTAATGAATCATTTCACATTGAAATGAAACATTTAAATTAGTATGTGTGTTAGAACAGCTGCAGTATTACTGTGTAGTTTCCTGTGTTGCTCTTCATGGTTCACAACTTTAACTACAGTAAAGATTTTTGCTGTACTGTCATATTGGATTCCTTTCAGTTTATGTTCTATGTGGACCTTATGCAAACAGTATAACTAAAACCTACTAACTTCAAAACATTTGATTACATTTTATGCCACACACAACAATCCTGATACAATCGTGTGTTGCAAATACTAGTAAACATTTTTTAGGTTTCAAGAAACTTAGAATCTGATTCACTCGAAACAAGCAAAAAAACTGATGCGATTACTCGTCGTTTTATAAAGCTCAAACAGCTGTTGAAAACGTCTTGAAATTTGTTGCCATAAAATATTAAACTTTTTTCTATTATATTCTTATTTCCATACCCCTGTTAACAGGAAGAACAACACTGCATCTAACACAAAGGAGAAAAAATAATAGCAAAGGAATTGTTATTCCTTACGTATCAGGTGTTTCTGAGGAACTCAGAAGGATTTTCCTTAAACATAACATACCAAGTAAATTTCAAGCCCCATAACACAGAACACCAAAAAGCCTGAGTGGCGTTGTTTATGCGGTCCTGTGCAGTGAGGATTGCTTTGTCTCCTACATTGGAGAAATCACACAAGACTGGGACAAATACATTTTGAAGCAAAGGAGAGCCAGAAGTTTGGGGGAAGTTTCAGCAGTACAATTGCACCTTAAGAACAAAGGAAACATCTTTGATGACCTTAATATTCAGAGGTTGGACAAAGAGGACAGACAGTTTAGAAAGGTGGTGAAATAAGCCTTCTGTCAAGTTATGTGGAGGTTTTTAGAGTACCCAAATGCAGAGGCGGAAGCTGAGGTGGTTTCACATGGGTTAACGAGGGAACAAAGGAACAAAGAGAATCCAGCACTGAGCAACAAGCAGATGAGGAGTATAAATGCCAAACAGAACAAAGAATGGAGTAATCAACTGATTGGGAGCAGGTGTGAACAGAAGGATATAGAAGGGAGCAACGGGAAAGGAGATTGACAAAAGAGGGCAACAGAAAGTAAACAGGAAATACATAAGATCTTAATTATAATCAGAAAACAAATGGAGTGACAAAATGAAAATGAAACCAATAAACTAGAAAACACAGAAAGACATGAATCAATGTGTAACTGAAAACTAAAACAGAACCAAAAAGTGCAGAATCATGACACCTCTGTCAAAAAAAAAAAAAATCACTGAACATAGGAAGGGGTTTGTGATTTAAGGTTCCAAACATCCACAATTCTGTCCTGGAACTAATTTAAAGAGATTGCACAAGCATTTGTTTCATGATTTAGATGGCAATGATACATAAGATTGACTGATTGGTCCTTAAATTAATTCTGACTTGGAATGTGCTTAGGAGGACTGGCCTCCAGGGGCTTAAAAACAACAGCGCTCCGACTGACAGCATAGAATGTTTTCCTTTTTGCCAAAGTGTATATATAATGCTGTGGAATTTCTAATGTCCTTCTCCTTACTAATACCTTTATATGAAAATATAATTTATCATTTATTTAATATTATTATTATTTGATTATCTGCAACTTCTCTGTAGGCTATGGTTTAAATTAAACATTTTAACTTAACCAAAATGTGCCAAGAATTAGCAGAACTTTGTAATCATCTAATAAAATTCACTATTCCTGAAGGTAGGTATGAACGTAATAAGTCAAATTGCTTTAAGTGAGTCAAAAGATCTATTTAAAGTTGTTTTTACTCATTCAACAAGAATGTTTATTTTTTCTCATTTCCTCTTTTTGCACAAAGCCCTGCTACTTCTGTGATCTAACTAACAGACTTTTGACTCATAGTTGAAATTAGCCAGTTTTGCCAGTGCTTACAGATGAGAGCAGTTGTGGTTTCTCATTGACAGAACTGGACACTCCCAGAGGTGCCATTATTGAACCATGAGCAGATGGCAAACTGCCTTCGGATAGCAAATCTTCTACTTATGTTGCTTTCTGATACCTTTGCAGCTGGGTTTGGTTTGGTTCCAGGTTCCATCTTTAGTGCAGCTCAAAACACTGCGTCCAGCTGGTTCCATTACGTGGCCGGGGTTACAGCGGTAGGCCACTGTGCGGTTGAAGGTAAATTCTCTTCCTAAATAGATGCCATTAGCTATAGGTCCAGGGTCTCCGCAACTGATCACTAAAGAAAAGAAAAAGAAAGAAAAAAAATGTTAAAAAAGAAAGGTTCATCTACAGTATGTGAATATCAGAGTTTTTTTGGTCATGTTGACTTAATCAATTTCCCTTACAAAGGGAACAACATTATTTAAAGACCTAAAAATTGGAAAAGCTTGTAGTGGCTTTTTCACAGAGAAGCCTCTTTAAGCACTCTGGTGCAAACTCCTGCATTTTCCCCCTCCAACTCTTTACATTTTATTCTTTCTATTCCTATATGTTTGTCCCTTGGCCATGTTAACCAACCAGAAGTTTTTACCTAACATACTTGTCCTTTTCTGCAAAAAGCATCCTGTAACATCACCGGATATCAATCGAATCTGTTAGCCTTAATCAATCACAAATATTCTGACTTACTTATTAAGGTAAGCTTACTCTTCTTAAGATTATTGAAGCCCTGCAACACTTCATGTTAAAAATACTAACTAATCGTGTCAAAGCATTCCTACCAGTGCAATCTGGGGGCTGACCCGTCCACGTCCCATTTGTTGTGCAGTGTCTTGTGGTCAGGCCCGACGTTTTGAACCCTTCCCAACATGCGTAAGCCACTGAGCTGCCAAAGGTGATGCCGTCACTGAACACAATTCTTCCATAGGCAGGGGTGCCAGGGTTACCACAGGATACAGCTAAGGATTTAGGAAAAAAAAAAAAAAAAAAACATACCCGTCAGCGTTGATTAACGGAGGAATTCACTGCAAAGCGAGCTATAAGTGTCTTCCTGTCAATCAGTGCTGATCAGCTCTGGGCTGCAATAATGAGATTATCACTGCAGACAGCTGGAAATACCCTAAACTGTATCCTTTATGAAAAGGCTGATTGATGAATAAAGGTCATTGACCTAATTCCCAACAGTGAGTGACAGATACAAGGGTTACATTTGTGCACTTAAGACTAACTGGAAGTTCAGAATAAATCAACATCTATCAAGGGCTGCTGCTTAAAACATTAAAAATATACAGGCAAATGTTGCCTGGTTCTTCCTTCTGGTAGAAAAATCAAATTGTTGGTTTAGGAAAAAATTTATGAGCATTATACTTAACATTTGCACACAAATCAAATGAAAAGAAAAATGAAACAGGATCGCTCTGACTGCTGGGTTGTAGAGTGAGTTTATTATTTAAAACTTGAGGAAAGTGAGGAATACGACAGAGGCCTTTTAATTTTTGATAACAACTGGTCTACGGATTGCATTACAAAACTGTCAAGAAGGGCACTTTAAGCAGACAGGAAAGGTCTAAACTACTGATTCATTGAACTTTAGTTTGCTGGCAAAGCACATTAACTGAGCTAGGACGAATTAGCAACCTCCCACAGCGCATTTCACTAATAAGTTCATGACAGCCGACAGCCCTTAACAATCAGCCACCTATTGATTGGACTCATTTGTTAGGACCCTTTTAAAGCTTGGTCCAACAGTAAATTTGTGCTGTTTTCAGTTAGGGTGTTAGGATGTGTGCTGTAGCAGCAGACTCTGGATGGGTATGTGTTTGTGAGTATGGATTTGTGTTTTCTCATGTCCAAGTGATGAAAGTCCCCCCCTTCCTGAACCAACTTTTAACTACTATTAGCCTAATGAAAAATAAATATAGATAGACGTAAATAATTACCTTGCACAAATAGGCACGGGCAAAGGCAGACAGGCATCCTCAAGGCATGTGTGTGTTTTACGATGTTAAGACTAACAGGCTACATTTCTTTGTTAGAGTTTTAGTTTGTGTAAACCATTTACTTGAGTTTATGTAATATGACTCCTAATAAACCCACTGGTACCTTATAATATTGTCCTCGCCATAAGTAAATACAACCCAAATGTATTGATTTCTGACATGAAGAAAAATTACATTACATTTTTCCATTAAAGCTTGGATTTTTTTTAAAACAGCAATCATTTCAGGTTTGACAAGACATTTTGAAGTGTAATTAATCAACAGGTGAACATTACTAAAATATTAAAAGTCAGACATCATGATGGCAAGCATAAAAATTACCTTTATATCATAGTAAACTGTTCTTTTTACACATTTACATCAGTACACTTTTACATTTACTCCACTAATTACATTTGACCGTCCTTTAGTAAACTGGAGACTGATACTGAAGGACTCATCCCTTAAAAAAAAAAACTTTAGTCTAACTAGCAAATAGACTGTAGGTTGTGTGTTTTATTCAGCTGAAATTGGGAGAACAGTGTGAGGTTCCAGTGACTGCAGCTGTAAAGCAACCATCTCTCAACTTCTCTACATTTTCACTGGTCCATATAGTGTCTTTAAAGGTTTTGGCTATGAAGAATAAACTTTATTAAAAGTTTATATATAATTATTAATTATTAGAGAAATTTATTTAAAGGCTTTGACATCTACATTTTTCTTTTTATTCCATTTACATAAATTATTGCTAAGAATCATTAAATCACATTACACCAGATATATTTTTTTGGTTTTCTTTTTTGTATAAGGTTTGGTGATGTTGAATTTTTTGGTTGAAATTTCTGTTTTTTGATACGGAAAACATTAAAGAGCCTCTTCCTTTATATAACCAAGAGCATAGCGATCGCATGATTAATTTCTCTGTGGATTGAGAAAAATGTTTTTATTGCTGAGCTTAGCGAAACCAAAACAGAATATGTCTCCCCCAAAAATAGACCCCCTCTATAAAACTGTTCAAAGGTAGTTTATGTCATTGCGTTTTGCTTGGTTTGGTGCTGAAATCTTGACAGAAAGCCAGAGCTGAGCCTATCGATTCAAACTTTATCTTGATGACTGGTTGGAGTGCTGATAGTCAAATAGCACAAGCTTTTTCCATTCGTTGTATGTTTAACTACCCGCCAATCAGTTGTGTTAGTGGTGTTTAAACACACACATGGAATTGAAAAAAAAAATGTAAATCCCTTCATTATCCCACAATGGGGTAAATGCACTCTCTGCATTTTGACCCATCCCCTTGGGTAGCAGTGGGCTGCCATTGTGTGGCACCCAGAGAGCAGTGTGGGGTTGAGGGTCTTGCTCAGAAACCCTGTGTGGAGGCTATGGGGATCGAACCGGGTACTTGCAACCCTCTCATCGAACAAAAGCAGTGCTCTTGACAACTAGGCCATCACTCCCGAGACATGTTATATGTCATATGCTATATACTAATTGTATGAGAAAGGCTGCAACAAAATACTTATTTGCTGATCAATTAATGTTCTGACTTAATTAACCAATGAATAGCCCGTTCATAACAATAAATTCCTTTACATTATTCAGCTCTACATATTTACCTAAATTAGCTGACTTTAAACTTATATTAATAGAAGTTATATAATATATTATATACATAATATATTCATACTATATCTGTGTGTAATGGATCTATAGAAATTCCCTCCCTGAATTTAATTACTAAAGTCAATTATTTTCTGAAGAGTTTTCTAATTTAGTGATTTTTTTTTCTTGCAGTGCGAATATGAGCCTGAACCTGTGAGAAAACTGGAGAAGCTCAGATTTCAACACATTCATAAGTCATGTCTACATGGCTTCATTCCATAAACACTCTGTTACAGCGTGCAAGAATGAACAATGAGCAAGCTTCTCCACCACATTACGGAAAATGTATAGAGCGCAGTGTGAAGACTTTTTGTTTGATATAGGATCCGTTTTTTTTTTTTACTTTCACCTCTGTAGTTAATGCTGCTTTATTTGCTGAGAAAACCCCTATGCTCTTTAGCTCCAGGGCCTCAGCTGATTTATATTTTCACATTGCATGGTGAAAACTCCATATCCAAAAATGCATTATAGGTTTTCTCAAAATGTGAAAACAGTCATTTTATTGCATATTTCATTCCTGCTGTAATATTTTAAGGAAACTGGGTTCAAACCCAGAGGTAATGAGCCAGAAATAGTTTGATATCAAAATGTTTCACCTAGACAAACAGTTCTCCATATGCAATGCTGTCTCATCAGAGAGCCTGTATAAATCAGGCAACAGCTTTTTACAATAAGAGAGGTTAAAATAGCATCTGTATAAATAGATTACTGTTTACAAAGGCACATAAGCATTTGATAAGTTTCAATGAAGAATCTCTTCTTTGATTTTCCAAGATAAAAAAACCCTTTGTATTGTGACAGGAACATACTGTAAAGATCTTCTTCCTGATCAGCACATAAACAAATTGTTAGAGATTCAAATAAATGGTCAGTGCCACACTTCTCACCTTGACACACAGGCTGTGTACCACTCCAGCTGCCATTATGAAGACAAGTCCTCTCAGCTGAGCCAATCAGATTATACCCAGCCTCGCAGCTAAAACGCAGGAGGCTCTTGGTCTTAAATTCATCTCCTCCCAATCGGGTGCCATGTGGAGGGATCCCAGGGTCGCCACATATTCCAGGACTAGCCCCTATAGTGAAAAAAGAAGTGGTCATTTGCTGTAGAAAGTGCAACAACAATCATGCCAAAGTGAAAACATGCGGACAACCTTTCAGTAATCATCATAGCATAAAAGATTTAAAAAAAAAAAGAAAAAAGAAAAACACACACTGAACTGTATCAGTTTTCAAAGGAATTTTAAATCTACTCAATATATTTGATGTGAAGACAGATATGCATTAACATGATGTATATTGTTTGTGACTCATTTGTGACATATTTCATAGCTTGACAGGAAGAGAAAATGATTTTGACAAAAAAACATTATATACTACACCAAAAAAGGCAGACATTGAAAAATATAGCATCTCAACGTTACAATAATAAATTGATATCCAAGCTGATTTGGAATGGACAATGTGGTGTTAGGAGCAAAACAACAAATTCTCAGAGAAAAAAAAAAATTGTTGAAATGTCAATGCAGCAAATGGTACAGTATTTAGTAGTTTATAAAGCCCCCTTATGCTTGTATGCATCTGTGCATTGCCTGGATAAGCTCTTAATAACATGATGGTTGCTGTCCTGGTGTTAGGACAGAAAGCACTAAACTCTGCCGAGGTCCAGAGTTGATATGTATATCAAAAATGTTCACATAGTCTTTCATAAACAGTGTTTGTCGACTCTACTGCTACTTCATGTTACACTAATACATGCATATACACAGACCTGCTAACTTTGAGGAACTATATTTTTTGGTTTCAGGCCATACTAAATTCCTCTGACTCTTAATCCATTGAGCATGTCACAATTGTAACTGCTCAAACTCAGCAGGATTTGTGAGTTTAACAGGGTGCAGCTCCAAATGCAGACTCTTGCATCTCATGGAGGTCTTTAGCTGCAGGTTGGAATTTGCCCTGCTGAGTGCTGTTTTGAGGCTGGAAGAGGAAGCTTACTGCACTTCAGCTATTGAGACAGCAGCTGCAGAGTTTTAAAATGATAGGTTTTTGGTACTGTGGGATTTGTGTTCGCCTGCTCCATTACTTAAAAACTGTAGTGAACAAGAATTGCTCCAATGACTTATTCCCTATTGCAATGAATTAGCCAAACAGCACACAGTCAAGAATAGTAATGTGGGCATTTAACTGGAGAAACAGAAGACTCAGATAAAACTGCTGCCTTTTCTTACCAGAGGAAATCTGATCAAAACCCTTTTATCTGATATGGGGGAAATTTTATATGACACAACAACAATGTCACTAAGTGAACAACAATTGGAACAACAAACAGTGTCTGAGTGTTTAATAGTTTCAAAAACAGAACATGTTCACCATCTATTAGGATTCTAGTAATAAATTCTGGAGATTACTAATAGTAATTATGAACTTGTTCAATTCAGATTGGGGGGAGGACACATTAAGCCATTAAAATTACTATTCTGTGAGGATAATCATCCACATGTTATTGGACACCCACATTCCATCTCATTTTAACAGTGTCACAGACACCTATACACACAAAGACCTCCTCAGACAGAAATACAAGGTGCACATTATGTAAATAGTACATGATACATCTCTATGTAGTTAGTTTCTCTCAAAACATCTCAAGCTAACCTTGATTTGTGCTTAACGCGCACACATTAGGTGCAGAAACTGAGATGTAGATGCAAAGTCTGCATCTTTTATAAGCAATGTTGCTTTCCTACTTGCGCCTAAAAGGCTGGCCGGCTCAACAGGCCGGACAGCACAAATCCCAAGCTTACAGTACAACACCACACTATATGAGGAAATAAGAAATAGAGCCATTTCCAACTCTTTCAAAGCCTCTTTGTGTGACCCAAGAGCCAATTTGCTGACAATTTGTTGACAGTGATTTTTCTGGCCTAAATCATAAGATGTCTAGAAGTTTCTATTTGTAAACCCTCACCAAAATTGTCGCTCTTCCACCATGTTTTTCCACACAGAGCTGTCTGCGTAGTTACAACTTTTCCTAGGAGTGCTGTGAGAAAATTCTGTCTGTATGGATGCAAGGGAGAGGTAGCTAAAATGAAGTAATACGGCCATGTAGACCATGCAGACATATAAAATATAAATCAAGCTTAAACAGGGTTTCTTCTGAGGGTGACAGTACATTTTTAAGGATGTCCATTATGGATACAACTTTCCTTTATTAGTGTTTTTTATTTCTGCCTGTATTCTACATGTACATTCTGGGCTAGATTTTTCAATAAAAAAACTCATTATGGGTCGATAATGACAGCAAAATGTACAAAACTGATTCTCTTAAATTGTCCTTATACTATAAAACCCTTTCTTCAGATAGATATTCCACATGCTACTCAAAATGATGGGAATACTGCTGGTTAAAGAAGGTATTGAATCCTGTTTCCTCTATGGATCTATTTTTTCACAGTTAGGTGGAAATTTGTTTAAAAAAGGGGCAATGTGGTCATGGGATGGTTTGTTTTTGATAAGCAAGAGATCAGTAATTATAATCAAGGATATAAACAGCTTGCTGCAGTTATTCAGTTATTACACTGATTAACTGATATTAAATTATGATCTCCTCAGGTGTTTTATTTATGGCCCAAACTGAGAAAAATTCTTTATCTGTTCCTGGGACACACTCATGCAGTAAGAGTTAGAGCTACCTGCTATTAATCTGTAGGAACATTAACAGAGGAAAGATTAATGCTCAACTATAATGGGCTGCAATTAGTGTAGAACTTAAGGTAATCTAATTACTCATTATTTATTATAGCTTTCAATAAAGTAAGTTAGTTCAATCGAAAAATTACTCCACAGCAGTTTCAAAGCACTTCGTTCTAAGTAAAGTCTCGCTTCAGTGAAAGTAGAAATTACTACCACACAACTGAGTTAGATAACCACAAACAAACATAATAGTGGAAAAAAGGTTATTTTAATGCTTGGTTGGATACCATAACCCTCTCCTTACTGTGTCCGTCTCTCTTTGCAGAAGCAAATATTCATGGCAGTTTGATGAATATTTCTCCTCCAAAATCCAGTGAAAGCCATTTACAAATGATTTTGTTAATATTTTCCCTCTATTCAACCCTTTTCTGTTTTAACACAAAAAGGCAAATCCTTCTTTAAAAAATTAAAGAAACGTGGTCGGACTGCTTCAATATTGCTGCTTTGGACTATTTTTGTCATTGAAATCAGCTCTCCTTAGCAACAGTTATGTCCAAAACCTTACAAATAAATTCTATTTTGCATTTGATTGCAGTTGACAAATACCACTTCCGCATTTATTCCATACATTAAGTTTAAAAGAATAACAGACACTTGTCCTGTCTGCAGTCAATGATGTAACTTATTCTATCAATTTTACACATCTGTATTGAGGGTGCTTTATCAGTAGCATATAAGTAAACAGGCTTTCTAGGATAAGCAGAAACTACATTGCTGTCTAGATTACTTTAAAAAGAATTAGTTACATTTCCATGTTTACAATGTAAGTTGATGCATCTAGTTTAAGTAAACAATTTCTGTTAGGTTATGCAAAGGCGCATACTTTAAGACTTGATTCATGCTAATCATACTACAAAAACAAGAACCGATTTAATTAAACAAGTTAATTTAACTACCTGTGCAGTAGGGTGGTGCTCCGCTCCAAGTGCCATCCTCCTTGCAATAACGTGTAGAATTGCCGACTAGAACCCCACCAGGCAGACAGGAGTACTGCAGCACAGAGCCATACGTCCAACTGTGGGTCCCAGAGACTACTGCATTAGGTGGTACGCCCGGATCACCACAGGAAATAGCTATGGAGATGATGAGAGATTGGACGAAAAGAAGGACAGACAGGAGTTTGTGAATAAATTAAATTTAAGATTCCAGATATATAATTACATTAAGTGTTTCAGCTGGGGTACTGCTCTCTCTAAATGAGAGAGGCAGAAAGGACGAAAAAGGGAAGCATCACAAAAGGTGTTTGTTGACAATATGTGTTTATGTGTGAAAGGATGCAATTAACTATAAGAAAAGAGGAGATGACACGAGTTAAAAGTGAAATTCACCTAAACTCCGTCAAAAAGAATATGGTAATGAGGTAACTCGTATCAGTCTCAACAAGTATGTTTGTGCTTATTCACTCTGTTTGATGTAACCATATGAAATGTTCCAGCATTAAGATAATTAACCTTCCATTATCTACAAAATCACTGGCATGGATTCAGATTCAGAGTTTAGAAAATATACAAAGTAAAGAATAAAAACAGCCTCTTTATATAAAATGAAATGCATTTTTTTGTGAAAGTGGAAGTTAATAGGATTTGTTTCAATGTCAAATGATCAAATATTTGCCAAAAATAGAGAAATCTTTGAGTATAGAAAACCCACATTTTCGATGGCTTCAGACACAAAGAAGTGATTTTTTTTTTTGCATTTGTTTAATCTCATTTTTCCTCTGCCCCCAGAGATCACCTATGTTTCTGCAATTTCTGAATGTTTCTTGGAATGTGACGCAAAGGCACATAACTATCACCCACTTCTTCCATTTCTGCCTGATTCCTCATCTCTGCCAGCAGTTGCTGCATTCTACTCCTGCACTTCTGTTAACCTCTTCATGCTTCTCCCTTCATCTTTGAATCAGCCTCCCTCAATTCCTCTCTGGTTTAATCTCCATGCTTCTATCAGCAATGGGAGCTTCCTAACAAGAACATCTATTGCCTTAAGAGAAACATGCTCACATACATACTCATACAAACAGTTCACTTGTTTTCTTCCATATTGCGCATTTCTTCATGATTGCTTCCCTTTCTCACTTTAAATCTCGTCTTTTCTTTCAGTATCTCATCCACTCCTTGTTTCTTAGTGGCTCTTAAAACCATTTCACTCGATGTTTTGCTTTTTAGTAATATAAAAAGGACTCTTCCTTGCAGTGAAACCACATTTAAGACATTTCTTTCAAAGAAATCCATGAAAAAAACAAACGTACATATTTTTTTCTCTGAACTTTTTCATGGGGATGATTATAGTTTCCAGTTTTTTCATGACTGTGCTTATGTGTTATTTCAACCTTTATGTGGATATAAATCTTAGTTCCTGACAAACAATATCCTCATTGCTTCCACTGAACACAATGAATTTCAAAAAGCAAAAATGCATATGGCTGAAGTGTTTCTATAAAGAGTAAATGGGCTGTGCCTTTTGATGCTTTATCGGATTTATCACCTAAATGAAGGTCTTTTAGATACAATAAATGTGCAAGTAAACTAAAAAAGAAAAGAAAGACCTCTTGGTACTCTACCTTTAAGGACCAAAGGGCTATTATTCATGACTGGTTTCAACTGAACCGCTTTCAATTAACCTTGATAGGTTTGATGAGGCTCCACCTTTACCACCAATTCAAATAATCAGTTTACCTAAACTCAGAATTTTATAAGCTGTTTTAATAAACTTTTTTTTTTTCTTTTTTTTTTTTGTGGTTCCTGGCTTTCTACATCTGGGAGAAGGCTTTGCTCAACTTTAGAGTTTGAATTAAAATGAGTTAAAGTCAGACCCTTTCAGTTTCAGACTACACATAAACACATGGATATTTCTCATAAACAGGTTCCTCTATGTTTCCTTTTGTTTCCGCCTTAATGTAAAATGTGTTTTTGTTCATGAAGACTGACAGATCCAGCAAAACAAACATAATTTATGGCTAGAAGTATTGCAGTGGATTTAAATCTCTATGATTCATGGCTAAATAATCTATTGTAAGCCATGGAGTTCAAACAAAGGAATTAATCTTATTTAAGAAGTAAGAACTTTACTTAGTGGTCTTGACCTATTGAGGATGAAGGAATTCATTGCAGCTTCCTGTCAGCAATCTCAGCCCTTACTTAGGTCTCTGTTATTCTTTTTGCATGGGACCCTCATCCTCAGATCGAGCTACGTTATGTCTGAATCTTCCTCATTATTTCTGTGGCATGCCTAAGAAGAGACTAACTCTACATGGGTTATATGGAATACTATAGGGTATATGTGCACTTTATTCTTCTTTTGTTGGGCATATTTGGACTTTTAGTCAGTTTTTTGTTTTAGGGATCAGTATGCCTGCGTACATGTATATCGACTAGCCCTACAGTAGTACAATCAGCAGGAAATAATAAAACAAAAAGAATTCTCAGAACTCTTACAGTATAGAAACATATAGATATGTCATATTACATTGAGGCTTTGAAATGTGAATACAAGTGCTGCAGCCACCACACACTACATGTCATCTAATTTCAAAGATGTAGCCGTCCTCCTGAAGAGTGGATTTAACACACTGACACTTATAGTTTAAAAGTCATGGGCAGATACAACAATCTTTTGTAGCAGATAAAAAAGAACTGACTGTTTCATATTCTTTCGGAGACAGAAATCCCTTAAACATGTGCAAAATCATTCTAAAGATGAAATCATTCAAGAGAGTTGCTAATCATCTCAGGACTGGAGGGCTTTGCAAATTTCCTGATGTAAACTAGAAAAGGCATGAAAACTGACAAAAAAAAAGCGGCACCTTGGATTAAACATTTGGATATAATGCTCTCTGATAAGCTGAGCTCATAGCTCATGTGTAAATGCAATTATTTATTATACTGAGATAATTGCTTTACATACTTTTTAACTTGCAATAATCTAAAATTAACATTGCCATTGCTTTAAAGATTCCTTAAAAAATCATCCTAGATTTCAAAAGACAAAAATATCATTATAGATTATAACTACTAATGTAATGTGTTTTTTTTCTGTTTTCATTAAATC